TCATCATTAGAGAGTGCAGGGACGGACTCCGCAGCTGCTCAAGTTCAGTATCTGTGATTGGCCCTGCGCACTGTCAGCTTCCTGGCGGGCTCAGGCACGTGGAGCTCATCATTAGAGACTTCGCCACAAACAGCCACAAAGGCAAGAGAATTCTTGTTGGGCAGTGTATTAGTGCAGTGTATTACTTGGGCAGTGTATTAAACCTCTGGCACTGCGCTCACATGATCCCTTCCCCTTCTGGTCAATTTTAAAAAATGGCGACTGTAAATAAGAGAAGGAAAGTTGACAGTGAGGGCCGCCGCTTCCAGGACAGGTGGAAAGTGGAATATTTCTTCACTGAAATAGAGAATCACTGTGTTTGTCTGATATGCCAAGAGACTGTGGCTGTTTATAAGGAATTTAATGTCAAGAGACACTACCAGTCGAGACATAGCACATACGACAAGCTTACAGGGCACGACCGCAGTGAAAAGTTGAAGCAACTTGAAGCTGTTTTAATGTCACAACAGAAATTTTTCATAAGAGCCCGTGAGTCAAATGAAAATGCCACAAGGGCGAGCTATGAGGTGGCAACGTTAATTGCTAAAAATTGCAAATCTTTTGCTGAGGGTGACTTTATCAAAGAATGCGTTATGAAAATGGTTGAGAATATCTGTCCCGAGAAGAAGCAAGAGTTTGCCAACATTTGCCTGGCTCGTAACACTGTAGCACGGAGAATTGAAGAGATTTCATCAGATATTAAGAGACAGTTGACATCCAAAGGAGTGGATTTTGACTTCTTTTCAATAGCCTGTGATGAAAGCACGGACCTATCTGACACAGCTCAGTTGCTGATTTTTATGAGAGGGGTGGACGATGAAATGAATGTGACTGAAGAGCTACTTGACCTCCAGAGCCTTACGGACCAAACAAGAGGAAAAGATTTATTTGTTTCTGTTAGTTCCGCCATAGATGACATGAAACTGCCTTGGAACAAAGTTACTGGGATTATTACTGATGGGGCACCTGCCATGGTTGGTGAACGAAGTGGATTATCAACCCTAATCTGTAACAAGGTGATCGAAGAAGGAGGCAAAGCTATTAAACTCCATTGTATCATTCATCAACAAGTTCTCTGTGCTAAACATCTCAAATATGATCATGTTATGAAACCGGTGCTAAAGACTATTAATTTTATTCGCTCTAAAGCCCTGTGCCACCGCCAGTTTAAACAGTTTCTACTGGACATCCAGGCTGAATACGAAGATGTTTTATATCACAACGATGTAAGATGGCTCAGTCGGGGGTCTGCACTGCAGCGTTTCTACTCTCTCAGAAAGGAAATCGGAGAATTCTTGGAAACAAAGGGACAACCAATGCGAGAACTATCTGATCCTATTTGGCTGGCTGATTTGGGGTTTCTAGTTGACATAACAAAGCATCTGAATGTACTGAACACGAGTCTTCAGGGGAAAGATGCAGCGGTGAACCAGCTTTATTCACACCTCAAAGCCTTTGGGACAAAGCTGCAACTTTTCATAAGGCAGTTGTCACAAACACAGCCCAATACCATACATTTTTCAGCGTTGCAGGAAATAATGAACATTTTTCCACAGGACAATATCAGTGCGCAAACGAGCAGGTATTCAGCAGAGATCGCATCTCTGGCTGGGGAGTTTAAACCGCGCTTTCAGGATTTTGCAGCTATTGAAAGGAGGTCAGCCTTTTCTCCTCTCCATTCTCTGTTGACCCCGATGATGCTCCAGATCAGCTGCAGCTCGAGCTCATTGAGCTGCATTGTGACAGTGAGTTACGCAGTCGTCACCAAGAGCTCTCTCTTGTGAACTTTTACCGCCAACTGGATAAGAGCCGGTTTCAAGAGATTCGAACATTGGCTAAGAAAATGCTGAGCTTGTTTGGCTCAACATATATGTGTGAGAAGACATTCTCTGCTATGAACTTTAACAAGAACCGCGTGAGGACAAGACTAAGTGACTCTCACCTGCGTGACATTTTGCGCATCAAAACCACTGCCTTTGAACCAGACCTAGTCTATGTGCTGCAGTCCAGATCTCAGTTTCGCCCTTCACATTAGTGTAGGCAAGTTTTTTTTCAATTGAGATGAATACATTGTAAAATCTCAGTTAATGTCAGTTGGTCTAAATCAGTTATAAATATATTTGGACACAACACGGGTAATTTGGCAATATCTATCTTTTATGGCCCCCAATGAATCCATATGTATTGAGATGAATACATTGTAAAATCTCAGTTAAAGTCAGTTGGTCTAAATCAGTTATAAATATATTTGGACACAACATGTATACTTGGTGTTATGTTCCTGTTCATATTTTTTGAACTTAAAAGTTGACAGACAACCTTTATTACCAATAATATGTAATGTACTTTACAATGTTCCTGACATATATTTCAGCTTCCTGGATTTTTTTTTTCATCTGGCCTTCAGATATGAAAGGCAGAGTGATTTAACACCTGTTTAGATTTGTCATCCATGTGACGAAATGAAAAGTATGCCGTTTGCAATAAACTTTGCATAAAATAGTTAATTTGCATTTAATTTTAATGGTTCAAAGAATGTCAGGCAAAATGGTCGGCCCTCACGCATGTTCACTTCTTCAAATCTGGCCCTCTTTGAAAAAAGTTTGGACACCCCTGTCATAGCACAACCAAACCCTTACCTTGCTTTGAGTTATGATAAGAGAAAGCTGTATACCAAATGTTGGTACTTTCATCTTACCATTTGGGTGGAGTTCTTGAACAAACTGACTCACAGACAGACAGACCAACGGACAGACAAAGTCACTCAAATATATAGTAGATGACAGACAGAAAAAAACATAGTAAAAATGCCACTAGCTAATATTTTTGTTTTTAAAACAATAATTCCTTGACTGTGCAGGATAGCCAATTTCCACACATATTTTTGTAATGAGCTGAAAAAAATTATTACATTTTATCTTGTTAAACACACTAGAAAAATTAGTGTATTTTTACTCATTGCTGCTTTCTATACTTAAACACAATTTATTAAAAATATTGCATAGAGGAATTTTAATGATACACGTTTTCTAGCTCTGGAAAAATAGCCTGTGAGTACCAAAAGGTAGATTCCTTTACAAGATCATATCACAGAACATTCACAGAACATTTTGTGAAGCATGGTATGAATGAATGGTAGAGTTCAGCTTTAAACAGTTACAAGTACAGTCTCTCCCACTCACTCCTTCTACCTTCCTCTTTATATTCAATAACTGTTACACCTCATTTACTTTCTTTATCTATTATCTCCCTCCCTCTTATCAAAAGCTGCTTCCTTTCCCATCACACATCTTACCTCTCACTAGCAGAATGGGAAGAGAGCCTCCTTCTCCTAAAATAGAAGCCTAGCTCCACTACTGCCTCTTGACATATTACTCAGCTCAAGATTTCTGTTCATTCAAATGTGTGTGTTATAGTTGTTCTTGGCTTAGTAATACTTCAAAATGAAAAATAGTTTCTTACCCCTCTAGCAACTATGATTCTTTGAGATGTAGCAGTCTATGTGGATCCCACAATAAATGAGTGTACCTCATGTATGCAACATTGTATTTTATTTTTTATAGTGTCTGTCAGGGCTGCACACGTGCTCTGTGCAGCCTCATTGTTCCATGCAAAATCATAAGGACGGTGATCATGAGCTTCTTAACTCAAAAGCCTTACGTAGCTGTGGGCTCTGAAAAGTGGGATGGAAGATGGACAGTGGGATCCACACTGACAACAATATATTAAATAACCTAAATTACCATAAATAACCATTCTTTGAAATGTTGTAATTAACGTGGATTTCACTGCAAGTGACTTGCAAGCAGTGTCCTCTCTGGATAGTGGGAGTGAGACCTTTCTGTCAGTCAGTCAGACTGCAGTATTGCTTTCCTGAACTTGGCTTCTGACCTGGCTGTCATGGCAAGAGCTTAAATGTTTAAAGCAAGTCACTGGTTACTCCACATTGCAGATCTCAGACTGTTATGTTCCTTACGCAGGCAGATCCTTCTACTTGTGCATTAGTGCAGTGTGCCTTGATGTTTTGAAAAAGAGGTTTGCTAGACATCTACCAAATGGAAATGCACTGTGTGATCCGCTTTGAAATTCTTTGGGATGAGAAGGCTTCGCCTTTTGATAGGCCAGATATGGCCATAAAGAGGTGAAGAAACAGCTTCCTTGATTGGATCCACCTGGTCATCTCCAGCCTGATCCTGGCCTGCATATTTATTCCTGCCTCTGGAAATTTCCACTACATGCATCTGACGAAGTGGGTCTTTGCCCACGAAAGCTTATGCTCCTACACTTCAGTTAGTCTATAAGGTGCCACAGGACTCCTCGTCGCTTTTGCAGATTCAGACTAACACGGCTACCCCTCTGATAGCTTGATAAGAGTCTTCCTACTTTGTACGAGATTCTCCCCGCAACATTTTTTCCTCATTGAGGCTTCCAAGAAGCCTAGATTGAGGGAAACATAGTAGTACTCAAATCTCACCCTTTCTTGACCTGTTTTGCAATGGATGTTATGGCTAGTGATTACCACTGCACACTAGCAGGGTTGAGTAGTCCCTCATTTATGAAGTGGAAGATAATCCTTGCTAGAAAAGATGTCACACAGCTTGTAGGATTCCTCTGATATGGCTGTGTTCTTGATTTCCAGAGTCTCAAAGACATGGAAAGACAGCCTGAAAGGCTTGGTCCTTGATAAAGCAAAGCTTTGGACATGTTGAAAGTATGAAGTTTCTATTTTCATGGTACACCAAGTGTGTCCTTGGCCAAAAAAAAAAAAAAAAAAAAAAAGAGCCAGGATTCACATTACCACATTCACAATGAAGAACAGACTGAAGTATAGCTGAACTTATCCCGAACTTGCTATACACTGTTTTAAGAAGTATTAAAATATTAACTGCTTATTTAAACTATACAAATTGAAGTAGCACTGGAAATTATGCAGAAGATTAAGCTGTAAGAGAATAACATACTTCCTTTCTAGTTCTTGCAGCAGCATCTTGTACAAGCTGAGAAATTGCTTCTTTCATATTTTCTATCTCCCCTTCTTTTTGCTTCTCTCCCAGTAGGGCCTAGAGAAAACAATTTGAAAATACTTATTCATAATTACCACTCATAAAAATAGTATTTTTTTCCATTAAAAAAGTCACTGATTGAACAAAAAGAAATGACAGCTTGCAAAATGACATCAGAATACCACTGTTCAAGAAAAAAAAATTAGGTAACTGATGTTTGTCATTCTATTGGCTACGTGAATTCAAGTATGTCAGGAAATCAATAAAACTTAAAACACGAGGAAGGATGACCATCACATTGCAGCAAATACTATTCCTGGGGGCATTCTGAGCCAAAAAATTAAAATATCAGCAAATATTATTTGTCAAAATAAAACTGAAAAATCACAACAGTTTCATTTATTTTTGTTAATTTATTTCAAAATACCTGCCAGCAAGTATGCCTGTAACACAGACATGAAAACTCTCCAGGTGCGTCTAGACCGGCAAGATTTTGCGCAAAAGCACTTGCTTTTGCGTAAAATCTTGTTGCCTGTCTATACTTGCCGTGAGTATTTGCGCAAGAACATTGACTTTGTACTGTACAAAATCAGTGGTTCTTGTGCAAATACTCCAACACTCCCACTCAGGGATAAGCCCTCTTGCGCAAGTATTCTTGGGCCAGTGTAGACAGCCAAGTTAATTTCTTGCGCAAGAAAGCCCGATGGCACATGCCAGTATAGATGCTCTCTTGCGCAAATACTTTTAATGGAAAAACTTTTCCGTTAAAAGTATTCGTGCAAAAGAAGTAGAGTTTTAAAAAAAACCGTGACAACTTAGTTTCTGGTTTTTTGTCCCTTTTTCCTCAAAGCCCTGTTAGGACCAGACATCTACAACCCTCCCCCCGGCCCAAGTCCCACGGGAGCACAGCTGCGGACCTCCTGCAACCAAAAATCTGTACCATCTCCCCCTCAGCCCAGCCACAGTGCCACCCTGGCCCAGATACCTGCACCCCCTCCTCGCAGAGATCAGCTGCAGCCCCCCTACCCAGCTCAGACATCTGTCCCCCTACCCTCAGAGCCCAGACACGTGCCCACCTCCCCCTACAGAGCCCAAGGATCCAGATGGAGAAAACAGTCTGATGTTGATTCCCAGACTTCTGTGGAGTTTTTTGTATGCCTCTGTCTCCTTCATTCAAAGCGTGTGGTGAACTACAGATGCCAGGGAGAGGAAGTTACTCACCTTGGTGCAGTAACAATGGTTCTTCGAGATGCGTGTCCCCGTGACACTACTTGAAGAAGAAGCAGGCCCACTGTTGAGAGGAGTGATAATTTTCCCAGGGCCCCGTGATTCAAAAGAGTAATTTAAAACATTCCCTGTCACAACTCCCAGCCACCAACTCTGCCAGCTCTGGGTGGGGTTAGGGAACAATAGGGGTCTACCTCCACTTCCTGCTGGACAGCCTGTTGGGATTCTGGACTTGCTGCTGCTGCCCTGGAAACACTGCCTACCAGACTCCAGCAGCTCATTCTGCCGCAGGCTGCCAGGGCTGTCTTTGGCCCTGATCAGGCTGCCAGGGGCTGCCAAGTGGTTGGGCTTCAGTCCCAGCTCCCCAGCAGTATGTGGGCTCTGGCCCTGCTTCTGTGGGCTGTCCAGGGCTCTGACCTCATAGTGCAATGGGCTGGTGGAGCTGCCACCAGCCCCGATCCCAGTCCTGCTATCACGGACTCTGCAGCAGCCCACAGATTCTAGCCCCACTTCCACGGGATGTCTGGGGATCTGGCTGCAGCACTGCAGGCTGTAAGGGACTGCTGCCGGTTCTAGCCCCACTGCTGCAGGCTGCTAGGAGATGCCATCAGTCCCAGCCCCTGCCCCCGCCCCCTCCCGCTGCTTCAGCCCAGCCCCTTCTGGATTTTGCTCCTGCCGCTAGGCTATTGGGGTTCTCTGATCCAGGAACAACCACGGTCTCTTGTAAGATCACGGATGTTACCAGACAAGAGAATTCCAGTTTTGGGAGGTTCAACCTGTAATTTATTCTAATAAATTTGAGCTCTCTTAGCTTCATTTGCTGTTGATTACAATTCATTAAATGTGCATCAATGTAACATGTAGTCAGCAGATGTAAGTAACAGTACTCTGGATTTCCTTAAGACCTGGGTTTTTTTTGGACAGTACTACTCAAGTTCTTCTCAGAAGCAGTTCCCCTAATGATATTTTCAAGCTGAACATTCAAAAATTGATGTCTCAAAAATCAATAAGTCACTCTTGGAAAATCGTAGCCAGGATTTTTAAACAGGCTAAAGTTTTAGACATGTCTACTACATAAAACCAGGCTTTAGAATAGTTACATCATTGTCTTACCTGATTTTTTTGTAGGTTAGCTTCTTCTAAGAGTTGCATGCTGTCTCGAACTTTTACAATTGCATCATATTTTTCCTCTTCTAGATCTGTGCACTTCGTCTGTAGCTCTCTAATTTGTTTTTCTAGAGCTGTTCTCTCTGTTCTCAACTGTTCAGCATCTTGTACAGCTACACATAATCTAAAAAAATCAGAACACTAACATCTCACTGGCTGAACTTGCAACTTGCTAAAACACTTTCACTCCTGTTCTCATATACAGAAAGTACAAATTTGCTTATAAACTATTATGTTTAAATTCTCTGGTATAAGTTTTTATATATCCTCTTAATCTTCTATCACTATGTCCCATATAGAAAAAGAATGAAAGAAGAGGACACCAAATGAAGTTAATGGGTACTTTTCAGTTTAGAAAAGAGGAGACTGAGGGGGGATATGATAGAGGTCTATAAAATCATGAGTGGTGTGGAGAGGGCAGATAAAGAAAAGTTATTTATTAGTTCCCATAATAGAAGAACTAGAGGACACCAAATGAAATTAATGGGTAGCAGGTTTAAAACTAATAAAAGAAAGTTCTTCTTCACACAGTGCATAGTCAGCCTGAGGAACTCCTTGCCAGAGGAGGCTGTGAAGGCTAGGACTATAACAGAGTTTAAAGAGAAGCTAGATAATTTCATGGAGGTTAGGTCCATAAAAGGCTATTAGCAAGGGGACAGAAATGGTGTCCCTCGCCTCTGTTTGTCAGAGGCTGGAGAAGTATGGCAGGGGACAAATCGCTTGATCATTGTCTTCGGTCCACCCCCTCTGGGGCATCTGGTGCTGACCACTGTCAGCAGACAGGCTACAGGGCTAGATGGACCTTTGGTCTGACCCAGTACGGCCATTCTTATGTTAGGAGTTGAATTATAAACAGTATGTTCAAAGTTAAGAGAGAAGGGTATAGTTATTCAGAGCTATCTCTACTGAGTTGTAGACTTATTAAAAGGCATGTTGCAGAACATTTTTTTGTTAATTCTTTTGTTATTTATTACCCACCTTAAATTATAATCTTTGCTAAGTCAAATTATTTATTATACCACTACCAAATGGTTCTAACATCAGATGTTTAAAAAGAGGAACAGGTACACCTTAAAGAAACAGTTGTTTCTAAATACTCTGCTTATTTTTCTTGTTATTTTAAACCATTTTCCTTGATGAAAGCAGAGGGAGGAGTAATTGAAATATGGCATTAAAATTTTATGTAACAGTGTTAACACACACAAAATCCATACATGTTGCAATTTTGTCCTGCACTCTCTTCCACCATTCCATGTCAATTAACATCTACCAATAATATTAGCTAGAGCTATTGTAAAACTACAAGCCGTTTCCCACTGCTGATGCAATTTTTTGTGCATGTAGGTATCTGCATGTGTACACATATACAAACACACAGAATTGCATCAGCAATGGGAAACGGCTTGTAGTTTTACACTATCTCTACAATGTTTAGTGCTTGAACCAGATTTAAGTTACTGGTTGGCACAAAAGAAGGCAGAGACAGACAGCCTTGGAGCTTCTGGGGTACTACTCCAGCTAATGTTAATAAAATTAGTTAAACTCGGGACCTGTGCACAGACTAAAAAGTCACTGGCAAAACTGACACACGGGTAAAACCAAGTGATCTGTGGTCTTCTAGCCTTTACTCAGGTGAGAAGAAGGAAGATAAGAAACTACTCTGAGAAGGTAGGAGTAAAGAAGCAGATAAAATACGAGTAATCTATGATAAATATAATCTGCAGGTAAAATATAGTTAGAGAACTAGATCACTCAAAACTATAGAACACAAGCATTTAAAAGAAAACCTCAGCTTTCATTATTCTTCTAGAAATATCATCAGTCACATTTAACAGTCATTCATCTATTTACCTTGTCTCCAATTGTTTTATGCTTGATTGTAGCTGCTGCAAGCGTTTGTCTGATGCTTCCTCTTTCTCCCGAGCAGATACTACATCTTCTTCCTAGAAATCATAGCAATTACTCAGACATTTTCTTTTGAACTCTGCTTGAGCACAAAAAAAAATGAAATGTTCTAGATGGAAACAAATTTTTTTTAAATTATTTAAGTTTCATGTTTGCAATAGGATAGGGGTCGGCAACCTTTCTGAAGTGGCATGCCAAGACTTAACCCTCCTACCCTGACCTGTGCCACTCTCGTGGGACGGGGTGGGGCTTTCTCCACCGTGCACCCTGTGAACTACCTGGCTCAACGCTAATCTTTTCACAGACCACCAGTTGCTAATGGAAACTGACCGTTAATTACATAATTGCTAGTACTGCAGCTAGGGAGCATGGTTTAATTTAAATTATTAAATAGGCTAAGCATTTTAACTCTCTCATGATAATTTATCAAATTTCATTTTAAAATCAAGTAAAATATGAATTTATGTCCAACACAAAAGGTTTCAATGCTTTCTTTATTTATGGCAGGAGTGGGGAATTTCTTTTGGTCAGGGGCCACTGACCCACAGAAAAATCAGTTGGGGACCAGTGTTCCCTCTATGCTGCGTGGCAGTACACCTTCACAGGTGATTAATCAGCCCTACCTAGTCAGAGGCTCAGGGCTCCCTGCATGGGCAGGGTTGATGAATCACTTGTGAAGCTGTGCTGCCCCACAGCTTAGAAGGAACACTGCTGGGGACCACAAAAGCAAGGAGGAAAATTCTCCTACGAAAACCCCTAACCCTCACTGATGTGCTCCCAACTGAGACAGCTTACTCCTCTGGTCCTTCTGCCTCACAGGGCAAGGGGAAGGGACAGGTTCTTGGCTTCCTATAAGCCAGATTTACTTTTATAGGGTTCCAGAGTTAGTGGATTTTATAGACCCCCTTAGGTTCTGAGATGAGGACAAAAATGAGGGGTTCAGTGTGAGGGACAGGGCTGCCAGCGAGTGGGATAGGGATGCAGAATGTGGGAAGGAGGAGGAGTGCAGAAGGGGGAGAGGTTACAAGGTCTGAGTAGGAGATATGGTGCAGAAGCAGGCTGGGGTATGGGGCCTGGCCAAGGGGAGGAAGCAAGATCAAGGGAGAGTGAAGTATGTGGCCAGGCAGGAGAGTGCAGGAGAAATGGTGGATGCAGGAGCAGGATGGAGATAGGGTATCTGGCCAGGAGGGAGGGTGTTGGTGCAAGCTGGGATTGCAGGGTCATGGCAGGGGGAGGAGAGTGAATGAGGAGAATTGAGGTGCAGGGGGTCTGGGAATGAGAAGGGACGCTTACCTGGCTTTGCAACTCCTTGCAGTGGGGAAAGCTTTTGGACTTGTGTCACGCACTGTCGTTCCCCCAGCAGGGTGGGGAGCCCACGCAGCCAGGAGGCTGCAAAACATCAGCTCTGTCTTTCTACTGGGAGGCATGGAGGGTGGGGAAGGTGAAGAAAGCCCTGACCCTGACAGACCAGCTTGCGGAGAGCAGCAGAGCCAGCAGCTCTGTGTGTTGCCACTCCCCCAAGCCACTTCAAGGCACTGAGGTCCAGGAGCAGCTCTACTGGTTTTTATGGCGGTCTCGAACCCACTCGGCACCCCCCTCCTCTGGGCAACAGCAGCTGCTGTAAGAAAGAACAAACAGCAGCCTGGAGATGAAGGAGGCAGCTGCAACGCAGACAGGACCCCGTGCACCAGAGGTAGTCCTGCAGCAGGGATGGAGGGAGCTATCGGGTGCACAGTGGTGGAGCAAAGGGTGGTGGGGACCACCAGCGGCAGTGTGCACCACACTGGAACTGGGGAATGTGGTGGTGTGAGCCGTTGCGGGTTCGGGGGCACTTCTGAGCACCCAGTTGCTGTGTGTGCAGCTTAACCTCCTGCCAGGGAAGGGGGAAGGTGCCAGCAGCAGGTTAGTCTGTGCGCACAGCGGCTGGGGGCTCAGAGGTGCCTCTGAGCCACCTATGGGTGCGCATGCCACTCAAAATCAGCACGCGTACCGTATGTTGCCGACCCCTGCAATAGGATAGTCAATTAAAACCTTCAGTTATTCTAGAATACCTTTCTCTTCATTTGGACTTGAAGGTCTGCTAACAGTTTTGTCATTTCATCAACTTTAGCAGTTGCTGTTCTCACATCTATTTTGGCTTGCCTGCATATAAAGATACCCCTCAATTAATTACATTTATCAGATTGCGAAAAAAACCCAGAACTTAACAGATGATTTATAAAATCATGTGAAGTCGACCATATTATCAAAACTTTTCACACAGGGACAGCAGCAGCAGCTACTGACTGTTAGGTGGAAGAGATTCGAGAGGACACCAAACAGGAGGTACATAAGCCATTGTACTGCTGAATAAAAGTTTGTGGAGGACTCCATATCCTAAATTTTCTGAAGTGAGTTGATGATTTTGGGCTCCTCAAATTTCTGAGTTCTCAACTTGAGACATTTTAAAGGGGTTTGTTTTTCAGAAGTTGAAGGCTCAGGACTCTGAAAATCAAGCCCCCTTAATAGGTTTCAAATTGGGTACCCAAAATCATTAGCCATTTTCAAAAATCTCAGTGTATTGTTTAACCTGCGAAGACTCCAGGCTGTCACCAAGATAAAAGAGACTGTGTTACGAGATCTCCTTTTTGCTGATGACTGCGCCCTGAATGCTGGATCAGAGCAGGAAATGCAAGCCAGCATGGACAAATTTGCAGCAGCATGCGACAACTTCGGCCTTCTCATCAACACAAAGAAAACCGAAGTGATGCACCAGCCAGCTCCAAAAGCTCAGCATCAAGTGCCCACCATCACAGTGAAGGGACAAAAGCTGCAAGCAGTGGACCAATTTACATATCTTGGCAGCACCCTCTCCCGCTCAGTGACAATTGACATCGAGGTCAACTGCAGAGTCGCCAAGGCAAGCTCTGCGTTCGGCAGACTGTTGACCAAAGTGTGGGACCGCCGTGGAATAAGTCTTGCTACAAAGCTTAAAGTCTATCGAGCAGTAGTGTTAACTACCCTGATGTACGCCAGTGAGACTTGGACTGTATACAGGAGGCACGCTAGGCAACTGAACCACTTCCACACGATTTGCCTCCGCAGACTTCTGAGGATCCGGTGGCAGGATAAGGTGCCAGACACAGAATTCCTTTCTAGAGCAGGTCTGCCGTCAGTTTACACCCTGCTGATGAAAGCTCAGACACGCTGGGCAGGCCATGTTGCAAGGATGCCAGATCATCGCATCCCTAAACAGCTCTTCTATGGTGAGCTGTTTCAAGGGAAGCGATCGCACGGGGGACAAAAGAAGCGATACAAAGATACGCTTAAAGCCTCTCTCAAGTCCCTGGATATTGACACCACCTCCTTGGAGACCCTGGCACAAGACCGATCAACATGGCACACGCTGATCTACCAAGGCTGTCAAACATCTGAAGCCAGAAGGACAACCATAGCACAAGAGAAGCGAGCACTCCGTAAAGCCAGAGTTGCAAAAGCTGCAACAGTGGTGCCCACACATGTCTGCCCGACCTGTGGTAGAACATTCCGTGCCCGTATCGGCCTTATCAGCCATTTGCGGACACACCATGAACAGTCCATAACCTGTTAGATGTCAAGGTCCTCTTCGAATACGATGGACGAACAACAACAACAACAACAACAACAACAACCCCATCTCCCAGTGCCAGTGTCCTTGCCCAACCAGTCTCAGCCTCCTCACCATGTTGGTTCTCAGTCTCACCGTACTCTTAGTCCTAGCCTACTCCTCTTCCTCTCCCCAGGTTTGGCTTTTGTCCCCTCTGCATTTGAATCAGATGGCTTCCTACTCCACAATACCTAAATGCCAGCTGGGAAAGATAAGGTCCCTGCACTCAGTTCCAATGTCTAGTCCCAACCCTGAGCACTTGAAAGCACCTCGGTCACAGGAAAAGAGTTGTATCCTGAGGGAGGGTACAGAGGGTTTGACCTGGAGCATGGAGTTGGGGTGTTGGACGAAGTGGGCCCTGACTAGGAGGCGCTTACTTAGGTGATTCTGGGCTAGTAGCCCTGCAGGACCCTGAGACAGGCTTCCTGCCCACAGCAGTCCCAGGCTGCTGCAAATGGCTGTCTGCCTGTGACTCTGCTTTGGGCACCAGAGGGGAGGGAGAGGTTTCATGTGCTGCCTCTACTCCTCTAGTTAAACCTCTCAGCTCCTATTGGCTGGGAACTGGCTAATAGGAACTGAAGAATTTTTCTGACGTGTGGGAAAAGCATGCAAAGCCTCCCACCTCCCCCGCAAGCAGCCAGCTGCTTAAAGCTGGGGGTTGCTCCCGCTCTATGCCTGACAGTCCCATCAGCGTGGCCTGCTAGCTGGATCCAGTGGGTTGGCAGGCCCGATCCGGACTGCGGGATGTATCTTGCCCTTCTCTGTCTTAATGGCTCTTTCACATGTTCAATGTTATGCTAATAGATTTATCAAGTTGGAAGGCTTTTCACTTTTAAGTTAACAGATCCACTTTGTGGGAAGAGTCACCAGTCTGCAAGCAGCAACAGTCTGCTGTGGGAGCCTTTGGGAATGGTCAGAACAGGGATAGGAAGAGGGGATAGGTCAAGCTTTCCTGGCCTATTATACCTGCCACCCATGAACACAAGCATCAAGTATGACCACGCTTCACAATGTACTGCTCACTGACATATGTAGAGTGGTAGCTTGGAGTTTGGTTCACACCTGCTCTTCCCATTATGCTCTGGTGTAAGACTCTGTGATGGATGACTAATCCATTGAGGCTAGCCTATGTTAACATGGTTCCACCATCTTCTTTGCACCCTCTTTCTGACTAGGCACACCATGACTCTCTGCCCCGAGATCAGAGCCGTAACAAGGGTGAGGCAAGTGGGACACTTGCCCCAGGCGCAGTACATTAGGGGCGCAAAATTAAAAATTTGAAAGTTAAAATATTTCATTTATATCTTTACTATCATTTATTTGCAATCTGAATATATGTGAAATTAACAACACGTGCAATAAATACAAATACTACAAAAAATAAGCATTTTATCATTTTTCAGGGGGCAGTTCAGTAGCTTGCCCCAGGCACAGAAAACCTTAAGTTTCGGCTCTGCCCCAGCGAGCAGTACTGGGGTCGTGGACCATGGTGGGTGTGCTTTGGGTTCCTATGAGTGTGAAAGGGGTAGAGGAAGGGACATGAGGAGGGGCTAGCCTCCCGGGGTGGCCAGATCACTAACTTGTGCTCTTGTGGAAAGGGTATCTCCAGAAAAGGAGACAGGCCTAATAACAGTACATAATACATCCTAAAACCCTCAGTCATCCAACCAGTGGAGATGGCCTTGGCCTACCCCTTCTTTCCACTACAGCAACCAATACTTTAGGGTGGGCGAGATTCTGTGGCCTGCACTGTGCAGGGGGTCAGACTAGATGATCATAATGGTCCCTTCTGACCTTAAAGTCTATGAGTGAGGAATCTTCCTGAACAACTTAGGGTAGGGTTCTATGTAAATTAAGGGTACGAAGGCACTATTTCTCTCTCTGAAGTATCTTGCTTTAGAAAGAAGATAGGTATGTGTATGGGTTGGTTATGAAGAAAGTGGGAAGCCATACTTGGCTGAAACATGGGAGACAAATGCACTAAGACTTTGTGCTTATGGAATATGGTGAAAGGGCAGTCAGCAATCATGGCCTTCAATTTATTCATCCTTCTTGTAGCGATAACAGTTATCAGAAAAGTAACCTTAGCGTTTGTGGCTGGGTCTCCATGGCAGCAAGAAGTCCTAGTGGTTAGGTGTGGAATTAGCTAGCAGGACGAGAGAGCAGGACCCTGCTACTGGTGTCCCTGACCTAAAAACTCCAGCCCACTATATTAGTAGAGTATTTACGTTTGGGGCATGGTCCCAAGAGTCCAGGTTTCTCCCTTTGTTAGGAGTCTAGCAGGTTCCCCAATTTGACCCAGGGTTGGGGTGGAGGCTTACTTGCTCTGCTGGCTGGCCAAATGGATAGACATTAATTCCTGTCCTGCACACTGCAGAACCACGCTCCTGGCTCTTTGCTGGTGAGCCCCTAACTAAGCCAGGCACCTTCCTTTTATCCTCCCTCCAGGCCTAGTATTAGCTGCAGGTAAAGCAGAGCAGGGCTAGCTGGGCCAAAAGGCCAGGCGCCCCTCTTTTCAACTCCCTCAAAACCAGGCGCCCCTCTTTTCAACTCCCTCACAACCTTGAACAGGATAGCATATGAGGCCCTTCCAGAATCATACAGTCAGCAGGTGAGCACAGACTGATTACCCTACCATAGGGGCTGCAAGTAAAGAGCACTAATGGTCCACATTAGGGATATTAAAATGTGTTTATTTTTGTAAATATTTCTTTATGTGTGGCATTGCGTGAAGGTTAACCGATGAGCTCATGCTCATCAGTTAACCATCTGTTACACTATTATATCTCTAGTCTATATTTTCATTTTAATGGAGATGAAACGAATCTTGATGACTCCAGGGACAGGAAGCAGTCCAAGAGAAGAGGAATGCCTATGAGCTCAGGAATAGGACATTTCTCTTGACCTCAACAGAGATATGCACATTGGTAAGAACATTTCTTTTCTGAATTTGTACCCTTATACAACATTTAACATTAAAAAGGCAGAACAAGAACTGGAAAAAGACTATCATGCTAAAAATTATAATACATTTCTCCTTATCTATTTATCTTCCCATAAATACTGGATCTGTTTTCAACAAGGATTTCTTAAAGGTTTGTTGTTTGTTTGCTCAGACCTACACCATGTTACCCCTTTTGTGTTTCTGGTTCTAATACAGTTGTGTTGATGTATTTATGTATCTGTTTATCCATCTCTAACAAGGCAACACAAAACTAAAAATGAGTTTATTCCCACAAAGCACAACAGAAGTGAGAACAATATGCACAGAAAACAAACCAACAACAGATAAACAAAATATCTATGTAGTAAGGGAATGATCTTTCTTCAATACTGCCACACCTAGATGTTGTCAGAAATGTTGTTTATGATAATGTAAGTCACTTACTACTTACCTTAGATGGTTTTTCAGATTTCTATTTCTCCTGTAACCGAGTTTAGCCTGTTCTGAAAGGTCAAACCTAACCAATTCCAATTTCAAACCAACCTCCAGCTGAATTCTCAAACTATTTAGTCAGTTAACATACCACAATTCTTCCTCCAGTTTCTACAGTTAGCTGAACAAATCATCCTTAAGAAAAGCATTATGATTGACAGGTGCAAAGATTAACCCATGCTGATTATTTATACATCTTCACTCAGCATCAAACCATCATCAGCTGCGAAAACAACATTCCCCTTTTCAGCATCTCTTACTCATTTGGGACAGCATTATAACACTTTTGATGCTGTATTTTACCAATCGCGATAGGATTGTAAAATTTAGACCCTAGATAGCCTGATAAGCCAGAAATCTGTTGCTGTAAAACCAAAATATGGATGATCAGATAAACTGCTGATTCTTATGTGAAATGTTTGACTTGGGTTATAACATTATAACACTATATGAGATCGATCTTTTAAGCATGAATTGATAAGCCACTAGCCAGCACTTCTTTCTTATTGTTATTAATAAAGAAGCACTTAAAATCAGAAACAGCATATATATCAGTTGAGAGCAGGAGCTTTGCACATTTAAAGACACAACTTCATTTTTACTGTATGCTGTACTATGTGATCAACTGCAACAACAAATCAATAATTCTATCAGAAAGTATAGTACCTAGGAGTTAAACAAAAATTCAAAACAACAGGCAGCCTCTATTTGTGTAGAATGATATAAAAATGTGTTAATCAAAACCTAAAACAACTTTTATGAACATCAAGATAAACCTAATGTGGAATATTTGCAATACATGGACATTCACTTACTTCTTTGCAAAAGAAGTGTGGAACTCCTTTGAAAAAGACAATGTTGACTTTTGTTCTTCACATAAAGAACATAATATGTGTTCCTGTCCATTACTAGTATTTGGCAGCAGCAGAACGGCATTTTTGTTGAAAATAACAATATTGCTCAAAGGCAAATAGAGATGCAATTTTATTAAACTAACATTATTTTCAACAACTTCTTGGGAAAAACCTAAAGTAAAAGACTCAAATAGGCTTTCTAAAACATTACTCTTCTACACGTAATAGCCTACAATGCCCTTCACATTTTCAGACATAGGTGAATTTTTAACAGAAGTGATATCTTAGTAGTGACAGAGCACTTTGAGGCACTTAAAACATAGTTTTATACAGTGCTTTTCATCAGTAGGTAATAGTTTCTTTCCAGTTTTCTCAAACAGAATTTCTTGGTTCAGAAAAATATTTTTTCTAGTAAAACTGAACAGAACACATGTTACAGATGAAAGTTTTATAGAAATTTGGTGTGTGCAAAATCCATTTGTCTGAAACTAGACATTGTTTATCCTGAGCTTTGGAACTTCCTGATCCGACACCCACATGACTAGACAGGTGCCAAACAAGAGAGTGTGCCAGACAAGGTGAAATCATTTCCAGCCTCTCTGCTGCAAGCCTCCAGGGTCTCCTGAAGCACTGACAGCCTCCCAGCTAGGCTCCCCACCTTGCTGCTGGCCCTGGCTCTCAGGCTCCCTTCATGACTGCAGACCCCCACTGCTGGACCCAGTCACTGGGATCCTAATCCTGGCCAGGTTCTTTACCCTTGGCCACGCTCCCACCAGTTAGCCATCTTGCTGCCAGCCCACCTCCTTGTTCCTGCCCCACTCCCACACATTGTCCTGCTCCCGGCAGCAAGGCCAGCCCCCATCCTCTGTCCCGACTCCGCTCTCAGCTACCAGTCCCCCCCAGCTCCTCTGCCACGGGACTCTCAGCTAGCCCGTGGGCTCTCTGGTCCAGGGACAGGACCACGGATGTTACTGACTAGAGAGCCCTGGACCAGAGAAGTTTAATGTGTACAGCTTCCATACCAACGCTGTGGAAGATGAATGAGATACTGGAATAAAGTGCTGTATCAGTGAATTACATGAAGAGAAACAATGCAATACATACAAGAAGGTTTTCTTCTCTCCACTTAAGGAATAAGAGGTATCAAGACATGAACAGAAAACTGAAGCAGACACTAGCAACATACAGTTAGTGCTAGCATTGGACAAATACTGTGTTGTTGTTTTTTTTAAATCAAATATAGTACAATTTACCAGATTCATCTTTGGTAAATTCTTCATGACAGAGAGGTAACTAATATTTTCCCCCTCAGCTAGCTTCTTTTTGAGAAGCTGAATTATAAAATAGCTTCTGAAGAGAGTCATCTTTGAATCAAGATTTTAAAAGTACTTACAGCGATCACTAGACATCTAAAATCGCATTAAATTGGTTAACCAGCTGATTAAAGAAGAGGGTGGGAGGGAAGGTTGCTAGCCTTGCCTCCCACCCCCTGGTTGGGCAGGAGCAGCCCCTGCCTTCAGGCCACATGGGCTCACCACAGGCAGAGGCTGCTCTAGCATCCCAGTAGAAACAGTCCCTGCTTGAGTAGTGGTTGCAGCCCCTGCCTATAGGGTGCTCAGCCTGCTGTGGACAGAACCTGCTCTGGCAGGGACACCAAAGCAGTCCCTGCCTAGGGTGGGTCAGAGCGCTCCGCAGACAGGTGCTGCTCCTGCCTGACCAGAACAGCTCCTGTACACACTTAACTGCCTCCAGGGCTGGAGCAGCCTCCTGCCTGTGGCAAGCAAGGAGATGCTCCAGCCCATATCGGTTTAACATTCACATCCCTAGTGATCACCCATACGGGCTTGCCAACATTGTCTTCAGTAAATAAAGGCACTTCGGTATTTACAATCTCTCGCTATTCTTCCGTAAATTTACCATAGAATTTATGCTGCTGTTGGACCAGCCTGTGTCTACAGGCAGCCCAGGCGGCTGCAAACAGACGCTGCTTCACCCTGCTCCTCTCCCTCAGCAGCAGCCTCTGTGCATGAGGAGCTTGGACCCCGCCGGACAGGAGCTGCTGCCACCCCACACTACTACCTCTGTATTAGGGGCAGCAGTGCAGGGCGGCAGGCAGCCAGTTCACGAGGGGAGCTTGTTTTTAATCTGGTTCCCCTTGCGGACCAGTTCCCACCTGGCATCCCGTGCTACTGCCTCTTGATATAGAGACAGCAGTGTAGGGTGGCACGGGGCTCCCCGGGAGTGGGGCCAGAGTGCACATGCTGCAGGCCACTCTCCTGGGGACTGTAGGATAGTCAAGAAAATGATAAAATACCACGTGGTTACTCAACTATTCTAATACCCGCTGTCTAACATCTCTATCCAGTAATATTCCAGATTACTGTTGATATTATCTAAAAAACACAATTAAAGCTTCTCTTCTCCTCACTATGAACTATTAATGGTGTATAATATTCATGAAGCAAAACAATAATTATCCAAGTCAACATACAATAAAAAACTTTAAACCTGTTCAGAGTATTTTGAATACTTCACAACTCCCAGAAGTTCTAATGTGATTTATTGCCCATACAACTGGATTTTATGCAAATATGCTGTGCTAATAAAAATATATTGCTGGTCCTCAGGGCACAACGCTGCTAAAAGGGAGCAAAGAGCATTCAATACCATAAATGAATTGAACATTGAGCACCTCACAGGATGGGACTCTAAAATGTAAAGCTAGCCCCAAGATTATCTCTATGTTAAAGCTTATCAGACATGGTATTAATGGGTGCTGCAGCTTACTACAGCAGCAATTTGCTTAACTCTAGATATAACTAGTGTAATGGACAGGACGAGTCACCAGCACCCAGTGACTAAGGGGTTCAACTCAGATAGCTAGCAAAGGTGCTGGCCAGGGGGCTGGGAGCTGTTTTTATCGTTGGCCTTGTAATTAAGTAACAGCTTTGTAATTAAGACAAGGCCAACGATAAAATAATAAGTCAGAAAGGAATACAAGACAGAACACAATATTTAGAAGGATTGTTGTTTTTTACCTCAATTGTTTCCGTAGCTGTTCTACTTCCACATTTTGTTCTGTTACCGTTTTCAGAAATTGTTGATTAGTCTGTAAAATGAGGAAAGATTTATAACATATTCTTTGTTCTGCTAAAGACTACTTAAATGCACACTCTTGTTATATAGTGTCTTTTATCTGACACACAGTATGTTCACTAATGAATACAGACATGCAGATTTATTCATTTATTCTCTTTAATCAACTTATTGCTTATTTTATGGAGGCTTATTCATTAATGCACTGTCTCTTATCAGGCATCCCATTAAGGTAGACTAAATACTATGACCAGAAGTACCAAAATACTATCTTCCCAATTCTCAATTTAAACTCTATTAAATTACAGCTTGATTCAGTTAAAAAACCATCTATTTGCTACATAAACCAGAGACACTTTGCACTTAATAACTATTGGAAGTTATACTACAATTTTTGGAGCATCATAACACATTATATAAAGATTACTTAAGGTTCAGATGATTCCTGTTTACAGCCATTGTATAATACTCAACTAGTAGTTTAAACAGAAGTGTCAAACTTATTTTGAAGAAAAAGCCAACTCTCACTTTCAATTATGGTCTGTTGGTGACAGTAAAAACACAGTATTATACCTAACACCCAAAGTCTAGTATGGGACTATAACCTAAAAATACAGGACTATGAACAAAGTCATCAATGTCAATGGGATTACAAGAATATCCTAATGCTGGTATGTACATTCTGATTCACCAAAGAATATATGTGTGGTTATAAATGAAAGCCAGGGTCATGCTGGTCGTTAATATCATTGCAAAATACATGTACAGATACTACATTAGAAGTTAGGTACCCATGCTGAAAATATTCTGTCGCTATCAAGCCAGAGTAGACAAAACAAGTTTTCTGTTAGATAAGAGATATTTATTCACCTGTTTGTTGACATGTAAAATGGCTTTGTAAGTCAACACAATGGCTGTACATCTACATAGCAAGCAAGTCATCAGAGGACATGAAATCAAAATGGACACAGAGAAGAAACTATATGGGGTCTCTCCACTCTGCGGTTCAGTGAACTTTGGGGAATATAAAGAGAAGGCAAGGAAGACATCTCTATCGTGCGCTTACGAAGTAACAGGGTAGTGTGATTACTAGGGCCCTACCAAATTCGCAGTTTAGAAAAAGCATCACAGACCATTAAAATCTGACATATTATTTGTTATCTTATAATATACAAGTTTCACAGGGGAGACCACTGTTTCATAAATTGGGAAACCTGACCCAAAAGGAAGTTGTAAGGGGGTTCCAAGTTTATTTTAGAAAAGGATCAAAGTATTGTCACCCTTACTTCTGTGTTGCTTTCAGTCCTGTGC